CTTATTGAACTGAGACCAATTCTACAATTTGCTATGACCATTTTGAATTCTAATCCCATTCTCCCAAGTGCTAATAACCTCACCCAGTTTGGTGCCATTTGAAAGTTTAATATATGGCCTGTAACAGGGTGGCATTCACCTGCTGTGAGTGACCCTGTCTGCACTCCCCTAGTCCAAAAACCTTCTTTGGCAATTCTGCCCTCTGGTCAAATCACATTACAGTGTGAAATACTCAACACAACCCCCTTCTGGGGTACATCGTTATCATGGGCTCATCTTGGTGCCCTCTGTATAGTCTCTCAGTCTGTTTCCCCAGTGTCTGTTCCCCACTCTGATGGAGAGTGGTGCCTCCAGGACTACCCCTCTGACGACAGCTCCTTGCCCCTAGCTCAGAGTTTTATCACACTACATCAGTGTCAGCATAGTCCACAGTCTCTATCTAGCTCTCCACATGGAGCTATCTGTGGTGCTGCCACTCCCTCAGCCAGCCACTCATCCTGTGAGCCAAGTCATTAATGAAAATGTTGAATAATACTTGATACAGGACTGATTTCTGTGAGATCCCACTAAATGCGTCTCCAATTGGAGAGTGAATCATTGATAACTTCTCTCTGTGTGTAGCCTTTCAACCAGTTGTGCCACTACTATATAGTAATTTCATCTAAACCATATTTCCCAAGTTTCTTTGAGAGACTGTCAAGTGGAATTTTGTCAAAAGTCTTAGTATAATCTAGTTATATCACATATATTGCTTCCCCTCTATCCACTAGACTAGTAACCTTGTAAAAGAAGGAAGTTGAGATGATTTGCTCTTGACAAATCCAGGCTGGCTATTCCTTATAATCCTGTTTCTAGATCTTCTGGGAAGTTGGGACTTCTTGAAGACTTTTTGTTTGTTTGTTTGTTTGTTTGTTTAGAACTGTCAAGGGTGTGGGGTATTTTTAAGCTATTGATTTCAGAACCAACTTTATTTGAGGGACATTTGGTCATATTTGTGATTGTATCTATTATGCTCTATGGCACCTTATTCATTTAAAAGTTTAAGCATGAGTGTATGTGTCTTGAACATGAGATGCAGTACATTTTAAAAATATATAATTGAATACATAATGTAGGTCTCAGAACCTTGGGTTTGGCTTTGCTTTTAAGAGGTTGATTGATGTCTCCCCTGGTAGGCTTCTGTTCTCCAAGAAGTGTGTGCCTACAGAAATTCACAACCTCCTCATTTGCCTTTTATGAAAGCTTCCTTAAAGAGTATGTTATTTGATCAATAATGAATTAGAAACAACACCAGACTGGATTATAGCACTATAAAATATCAGCTCTCATGGGAGAAAAATTACTGCTGGCCAGACAGAGCAAGTTGTCAAAGTCTACATCCATGTTAGTGCCCACTAGTCCAGGAATATCAAGTAATTTTGAGAAATTATGTGCTATAAAATGTAAATTGCATGTCTAAAGTGCGTGGTGGGATTGCTGCATTTTGTGGCACAAGTTGCTATGGTGCCGTGTCTGTACTTTCTTGGCTCTTGATGCAGTGTCACACTTACATTTATTAAGGGGCAATCAACATTTGCTAATGGGGGAGTATCAGTTCTTTCAGTTATTCTCCCTATCATTCTCTCTACTCACTCCATTATCCTAGCAGTTGCCATTGAACACATTGAATCAGAATACAGACAGATGTTATGGAAAACTTTCCCTTTCCCAAAGCTTTGTTAATATGGAATATCAAATTCTGCAGTGCCTCTGCTATTCCACCCTTCATGTAAAAGTATTTGTGGGCCAAAATCTGCCCTTTAGATATTACATATAAGTATCATAGTCTGATGAAAATGTTTCTGTTTTTCATGAACCTAAGTGTGATAAAATTAGTATTGTAACTTTTGGAAGAGTAGGAGAAGCTTCTGATTATACTATAAGACTCAAACATGGCTATGAGAACAGACGTCTTTCACTGCTTATTAATTAGAGCCAGCTGCTGCATTTTGGAAGAAGGAATTGTTCTGAAAATCTTCCCCTACTCTAGGTAATATATCATCCTTGATCTGTGTTCAGAATTCCCAGTGATGTCAATCAAGGCCAGTATATACACCTGTAGCGGCAGCAGAATTACACTAAAAGATGATACTCTTTCAAACAGGCAAATATGGAAGCAAATTGCAGATTTGCATTTCAAAAAACACACAGTTAAACCATTCCTGAGGCTACACTTCAGCATTAGTTTTAGCATTCATGATTTGTTCTGGTCTCAAAGCACCTAACAGTCCCCTTAGTTTTCTGATGTAAATGTAAAATGATCATTTTAGTCTTTTCATTGCAGTATAGTTTTCCCTCCAGATCCACCATTTTCTAATAGTGTAATATATTTTAGTGTTGATTTCAAGGTAATTTTCCCCTCATTTATTCAAGCTACAATTTTGTAGAGGAAATTTCAGGCACACTCACAGAAAATGTGTGGATATACTATCTCTGTTTTTGGTGGGGGTGATAGTGTATTATTGGATCTTCACATATTGGCTATGTCTAGACCACAATGATCTAGCGGGAAAAGGTCCAATAGGTTTTTCGGAAGAGGCTTTTCTGAATTTCGTGGCAGGAGGAAGACGGGGCTTCCAAAAGAGCACGTCTGCTCCTCCACAAAAAAAAAGTGGAAGAGCAGACGCGTTCCCTGGATATGGCAGAGTTTTTCTGGGATACTGGAGATAACACCCGTAGTGTAGACATAGCCATTATAATTGGATGGTTGTAGTGTTTAGAGACCTCAGTCAAGATTGGAGCCTTGGTATTCTAGATGCTGTGCATATATAAACAAAGAGGCTATTCTTGCCTCAAAATTTTACAATCTAAATAGAAAATCTAAATCTAAACAGAAAAAGGATGCAGGACAGGAATATTGTCCAGGTTACACATCAGGAAATGAGAGAGAGTAAGTGATTTGCCGAAGGTCACATAGGAAGTCTTTGACTGAAACAGGAATGAACCCAGTTCTCGTAGGTCTCAGTTCAGTTGTAAACATGAGACTATCTTTCTTCTCTCATTTAATTAGTTGTAGAGACAGCTAAAACACATTTATGTATATAAACAAAGCCAAATTTCATACATTTATTATCCAGACATGATACTTGTATTCTGCTTCTAGAATATGCTTTCATTGGACATACATTCTTTTTGCTTGCAAAATTAAAAAAGACTACAGGTTGAACCTCCCAAATCTGAGTCCCTCTGGTCCAGAAACATCTGAGGCCAGGGATGTTGCTCAGCCAAACAGCCCTGGAGCAATGCAGAGGCTGGGGAGCCCCGGCAGGGCCAGGTGGCATCTGGGATTCATTTAGACTGTCCTTCTATATCATCTGTAACTTCAGCACTACAATTTATAAAGTCTCCTTTTAAAAAAATATCCAATCTTGATTTTAAAATTGTTAATGATGAAGAAGCCACCACAACCCTTGGTAAATTGTTGCAATGGTTAATTTCTATGAAAATTGTACATCTGATTTTCAATCTGAGTTTGTCTATCTTTAATTTCCAGCCACTGGATCACTAAATAGGTAGTGGTGAACAGCAAACCTACATGGATCCCGCGTATACTTAATAATTGGGGGTGGTAGCTAGTCTGTGCCATCATTCACCTCTACTCGTGCTACAATACTATTTCTAATTTATTAGCTCTATGCATGTCTACACTATGGGGTAAGGTAGAATTAAGATATGCAACTGCAGCAACATTAATTGTATATCTGAAGTCAAAGTAGCTTAACTAAACTTTTGGCTATGTCCACACTGCAGGAAGTTGAAGGGAGAACACTCTCCCTTTGATTTCTCTTTCTCCTCATAGAAACAGGACTACCAGCATCGACCGGCGTTCCCCATTCCATTTAAATTAGTTGTTTTAACTATAACCACTAATTTGAACCTTGGAAGATCAACAGCAGCAGCTCTGATCTTTTCTGTAGTGTTGACATACCCTACGAGAGCTAGCACAATCACATCGTCTTGAGCTGGGAATCACATAATCGGATCCAAGTGCAGACATAGCCTAAGTGGCATGAGATAGGATTGTAGTGATCATATTATGATCTGCCAATTCCCTGTTGTTAGCCAACCTGGTAGGTAGGCTGTCATACAGGCTTCTGATCCTGCCAACTTAGCCTGGCTGGTTTAAAGGCATATATGTAGCAGTAGTGCAGTCCGTCTTTTGTCCTGCCCCTTGCTTCCTATAGGTTTCTTAAAAAAACTAGAATTAAAATAAGACTAAGTATAAGGATACTAATAATCAGAATTCATATTCTAGAGTTGAAGGGGTTAATACATTTCACTGGCTCTAACCTCAGGTTTTACAAATGCTTTTTTGTGATGCATTGAATTATCTTTTTTTAAGTTATCCTGGTCAGCTCCTTTACATCACAGGTACAAGAGGGATTAAAATAAACTGAGCACAAAGGATTGATAAAAGTTTTGCCATGTGACATGAGGGCCCTTGTTCTCATTACAAGTACAAATATATACATATCTGGACAGCTAGTGCCTAATATACTTTATTACACCATGTGCGGCTTTATTTACTTTCATTAATGGTTGTAGAACTGGATGCTAGGACAGGCCCTCCTTTGCATTTCTGAGATTTAGGATTCATGGGCCTCATTACACAAGGCATAACGGAGCAGTCGACAAGGGCTTCCCTTGTCGACTGCAGAGCGTCCAGACTACCACGCTCTGCCTCCAAACAGCTGATCGGCAGCACGGCAGCCATTTTGATGTAAACGAAGCGGCGATTATTTAAATCACCGCTTCAGTTCCCTATGTCTAGAAACCTCATCTACATAGCTCTGTCGACAGAGCCATGTAGTCTAGACATATCCTTACAGTCCATATTGTGAAATGACTCATTTGTAAATTCAAATTTCTGTGATCACCTCAGTAGTATATACTTGAATAAAAATGTGTATGATATTTTATGGAAACAGAGGCTAACATATTTTTATAACACTCTTTTGCAGATGCTCCAACATTTGTGTCAAATCACACCTTGTATTATTCTTGGGAAGGCAATCCTATCAATATAAGCTGTGAAGTGCTATCTAATCCTGTAGCTTCAGTTCACTGGAGAAGAGGAAAATTAGTTTTACCTGCAAAAAATACTACCCATTTAAAGACCTATAGTGCTGGAAGAAAGCTCATATTAGAGGTAAGGTGAATTAGCAAATTATATTAGTGGTCAGAAATTATTACTGAGGTTATATAAAACACTTATGCATCAGAAATGTGATGTAATGAAAAAAAATTTCAGCAAAAAAAATAATTGTAGGAGCTATTTATCTCCATGTTCCTTGTCATCAGCTAGAAAGAAGCCCAGGGTTCCAGTCAATTGTCTTACCTGTAGTTCACCATTTTCAGTGATTACTAATATAATCTGAGTTGTTTGCAAAGTAGTAAATAAAAATGAACATTTAAAAATAGTAACACAGATTCGGTAGCTTGATATTATCGATGAGTTAGGGCCTGAAATGAAATATTTTAGCTGTTTCCATCCAGCTCAAAGCACAATACAAAACTAACTGGCTTTCTGATTGGTAGTTTCCATAACAAGGTTGAGGATACAGACTAAAGTCCTTTCTTATCTCTCAAAGTCAGTCCCAATAAGTCAGGAACAAGCTATGTTGTCTGGCACACACTAGAGGAAAGACAAGATGCCAGGGATGTGATTTAATTAGGCCCCAACAACTTTATTAACTTAGCTCAATTAGGAACTATCCAGCAATAACTCATACAGTGCACATCATGATTCCTTACTTAATCATTTTCACCAGGGTCAGGGTTGACCTTAGCCCTTCTTTGCTTGGATTCAGGCACCCTTTCCTCATATGCTGGTTGAGAAGATGGAGAAGAGGAGATTGTCTCCTTACTATACCAGTCCCTAGAAGTCCCAGTTTTGTTTTCTGCCTTTCACTTTTGGGGATTCCATACCCTATGTCCATTTCCAGTTCTGGTTAATCAGGGAAATAGACCCAAGTGGAGTTAGTAAACATGGAAATAAAGGTAATATATTATCATCCTAATGCAATACAAAAAATATATAAAATATGTAAAATAAAAAGGAATGAAGTAACCTTGCTATCGTGCATATTATTTCAAATAGGCATCTGATATAGTTATTCTATGGAGTTATAAAGATAGTAGAACATGATTAGAAAGTTTAATATACATTTGGCTTAAAGTTACAATAGTGCAGCCACTGAAAAGTCAGAGTATTCTTCAGAAGAGTGCTGTGAAGGTAAATTAATTAATGTATATAAAGTGCTTTGGTGTCCTTAAATGAAAAGTGCTTTGAAAGTAAAAAGGAATATTATTGCTACTGTGGAGGGATAATTTTTCAGTATGACTTATATAAAATTATTCAAGGTTTAATAACGTTTAAAAATTTCCATTTACATGAGTAAAACAAAATCTTTTACATCTAATTGCTAATATACCTTTATATGAAATCTAATTCTATCAAGCTACTTTGTTCCTCATTCTTTTATAATTTAGGGTACGTCTACACTACAGCGCTAGTTCGAACTAACTTAGTTCGAATTAGTTAATTCGAACTAAGCTAGTTCGAACTAGCGCATCTAGAACTAAAAACTAGTTCGAACTAGCGTTTTGCTAGTTCGAACTAGCGCGTCCACACTGATTGGACGCAGGGGGGCATTTAAGGGCAGCTGAAACCGGTTCTGGCAGGGCATCAGGTCAGCAGTTGCTTTGTGTGGCTGCTGTCTGAGGCTATCTGAGGCTCGTGCTTAAAGGGACCCCCCCTGGACAGCCGGTTCTCAGCTTTTCCTGCTTGCTTGCCAACCTCGCCGAGGGACAGCAAAGCGTCGGTCTCTGTGCCCGTCTGTGTCGGTGCTTCCCTTCGGGGGGGGCC